TCATCTCATTGACTATTCTTTGTGCACAGAACCTGCCATTTGATCCTGGGGGTACATGTAACACCTTGTCATCAGCTCCTTGTCAGTCATACAAGGTTGTGTTACTCCTTATAATGCCTTGATCATCGGTTTTGCAAACCATTGGTTTTAACTCCTGACCGTGGTTAGTGCAAAGATCAAGAACATCGTTTGCTTGCGTACTTCTGTGAGCAGACATTATGCCGTTGTGCAACAGTGCCCAGCCACAAGTAATGTGAAGATATATCAGCTTTGAAAAGCAATTAAGTGCACTTAAATACTGATCTTCTCCAGCAGAAGGGCTGAGGATAGTAATACCAGTTTCCTGTGCACAGTGAAGAAAATCTGTGGCGGGTGCAAGGATGAAAACTTGGTACAGTTCCATCAAGACACACTGACAAACGAAGCATAGCTCCTCCTGGAAAAGCGAACTGGCACCATAAGTATATCCATGATGGCAGAGTACATCTGCGAGAGAGACAGACTTTAAGCAGGAATCCAAAACCTACTGGCAAAGCAGTATGCTCTGATAGGTTAAGTCTCCTGCCCGACACGTCAGTATGTTTCATTGTATTTTAAGAAAACGATGGGATCATTATGCATATTCTGCTTCTTCAAGGACTGAGAGCAGTGCTTAATTTCAGGAGTGTGAATTGACCACATGCACCTTCATAGGGTGAAGTTCAGCAAGTGTCCGTGGACTATCACTGGTGCAACATGGAAAGGGTCCAGCAGGGAGCAGGAAGAGCAGGAAGGGGTGAGGGAAATGAGCCTCAAGCCAAGGGTGACCCAGCTGCTGGCTGTGCCATTATTGACCAGAGTCTGAGCAATGCAGGCAGAGCAGGGTGCTGCCTCCACCGACAGTCCCAGAGAGAGCAAGAAATGAATCGGGTCCAGGCTCCGTCCGGAGAGCCCTCTCAGGAGCAACAGGAGGTGGACTAGCGGCAGGACTGGAGACAAGGACAAAACGTAGATCCAACTTCTATTCAGGAGACTGACTGGAGACAGGGGAGCCCAGGCCTAAGCTGAAATGGGGCTCCTGGGCCGTGCGTGGGAGTGCGGGTGGGGGTCCCTGGGCAGGGTGCTCAGGGCAATTAAGGCCTATATTGCCCTCGTGGCCCTGACAGAGAAATGTGTTTGAAACAATGTTAGGACAAGGTAGGGTGTAGCCAAAACATGGTAATCAGCTTCTGAGCCAACTTTTCATCGTACCTTAGACTCCGGATAGGATGGACCAGATAGTTAGGACTCCATATTCAGGGTTTTTTTCTCATTTCTGCCATGAGCAAAAGCGAGGAAATTTGGCAGCTCTTCTATAAGCTTTTCCTTAAATTTCCTACAACAGTTTATTTCCTGTAATTTCTAACTTACCCTTATATTTTATGTTTGACATCACATCTGCCTTTCATACCGTTTCTTTAACTGAGAAAGGAGAACATAATATTTCTCTTTCATATTTATTCACTACTTACTTTGTTATAGATAAGACCCTGCCAGAGGTTGAACTGTCTCTCAAAATCTTATTTTGTGTTGTATTCAAACCCATGGAATTTGAGAGAACGCGACTTCACCTAAAGCAAAAATTGCAAGGATTGTATGTTTCTAATGTTAAAAGCCTTCCCAAGGAGGCATTCACCAACAATCATTTTGTAACATTAATTCTCAAACATGGAAGATACTGTCTAAGCACTTGACCTCAGTATAAGTACATAGGCTTCGGTAGTTGTACAGATATGAACATATAACACATTTCGTTCTTTGCCCTGCTTTGGGTTACAACACAGTCAAAAAGTCTGAAGCAAGACCGGAATAGCAACATCAGACACGTTAGCTGGATCAGAGAGGATATACATAAATAATTAAAATTAAAATATCTGACTGTAGTTCTAGATCCTTTGATTGTTTACTCGTAAATCTCCCAGTGCATTGAAAACTATTCAAGCAAAAAACACAAATTCAAAATAAGTACAAAAGCAGCTGCTATTAAGTAGTTAATCTAGACTTAGACTAGCCTTCAAACTCCTTCACAGCTTATCCTAAAGGGAACAAAACATTTCATCTTTCAGAGGCAGCAGCTAAGGCTGTGATGTTATCTTTCTAACAGTACAGCTTTGAACTGTGACATTTATTCTGACTTCCATATTCATTCCTGTTCCTAGCTTCATGCTGAAAGAGGACTTCATTCATATTTGCAGATATTCTTTTGTCACTGTTATTCAACCTTTACCTTGAGGCTTTCTTTTCCCCCATAGAAAAATGTTTTTTATGAAATTTGGTCCATTGAATTTCATGATCACTTCTGAGAGCAAAGAGCACTTTATGATAGCTTTATCTCTGCAACAAAGAGTATGTGTTAACAGAAGGGATCTGACCAATGCTGATTCAAATATTTAAAAAGTTGTCAGTGGTTGAGTGATACTGTCTATATGAAATCATTTGAGGACATAAAGGTGAACATTTGAGGTGATATTCTAGCCCACATAAACTCAAAGCTTTTCTAACAATTTAATGGCATCTGGATTCCGCCTCTTCCTTTTACTTATTCTTCTTCACTCAGAAGATAACTCACTGATAATCAAAAATGTAAGCAACAATTCCTTTCCTTTTTTCAACATAGTAAGTGAGCAGAGAGTACAAGATAGAGGAACTGAACAGAAATAGGTGACAGGACAAAACAAGCAAGTGACTGTGAAGCCAATCTGATTGATAAAGGGGGACGATTTGAGCTGCTAACAGTTCCAACGGAGGAACCCGGAGCCATGCAAGTGCAACACATCTGCAGAGCTAGACTTTGAATCTAAGTGCAGAAGAGAAACCTCTGGGTAGACAGGGCACAGTTCAGAAGAGGCTTAAGAGTTAAATTTTAGTGATGCTACTTTACAAAAATGAAGTAGCAAGGGAGAAATATAAACATAATTACCGAGAAGAACTGTAAGAGTTCAGATGAAGGGTCATTTCCCCTCAACTCTCCTTTTCCCTAAAACAGATCCAGCTGTTGCTGCTTGTCTTCACTTAATCATCCTTTGCAAAAACCCAATTATTTTCTCCATTTGCCCTGCATCTTTCTCAGTCACATTCAGGAATAAAAGTTCCTGTATTTTTCTGTGAATAGGAGTCTCTGAAGAAGTAAAAATCTTCAAACCTGTCATGCTTCCCTCCCTTCCCAGAATAAGTGATTTTTCTGCACTGCCGTTTAAAGAAGGAGTAAAGGAGTCAAAGCAGAAACAGAGAGCTAGAAAGAGAATCGTGGAGGATCTTAGAGTGCTGTGGCATTTAAAGGCAATTGTTGAGTTCCCACTGAGTTGTGCACGGCTGAACAGTGAAATGTCTGACGCCTGGATTAAAGTCTCTCCTTTGTTCTAAGTAATTAAAAGGTGTCAAGCTAATAAGAAAAAAAAAATTACCTGTATTTAATGAAACAAAATTATTGAAACAATTTGGAAAGACAGAGAACCTCTAAGATTAGACTGAAAACTGAGAAGAATTGATTTTGAATTCGTTAATTAGTTTTCATTTTCTGAGCTGTCCACTTACCATGATAAATGCAATCGTACTTTTACAGCCCCTATTTATCCCACTTTTGAATCTTTCAGGAAGTTTCCAAGGCAACATCACACCAGTCCATCAAAACAGTTAGCAGTGTTACCTGACTCAGCATCTCATGATAACCAGTTTATTGGTGAGAAACACTGGGCCCATTCCTGTTCTATCTAGTGGTTTGTAGCCTTTTGTTCAGTTTGGTGTTTCTACATTCTTCTACTTGGTGCAAGAAAATTATTGCAGAGCAAAAATTTTGTTAGAAAATGACTTACTTTAATATAGGATTTGTTGAATTTACTGATTACTTTCGGGTCTATCCAAAGATGGACGGAAAGTAACATTGTGTTTCAGTGAAGGAGTCTTGTTACAGGAGCAAGAAAGGAAACAAATTCCAAGAACATCAGTCTGTGATGCTTTTCATTTTCTTTAGAGAATGCTGATCCATGCTGGTTCTTCAGCTAACACAGATTAGTCTGTCTTTCCCTGTTACACTGCGTTGCCTGGCACATTGACCCTCCGGCTCCTTTCTCTTCCACGCCTACTCCAGCAGTCCTTATGAGAGGAGGAACAGCAACCTGGAGTTAGGTGCCTGTCCCACCACACATTTGCGCATGGTTCAAGGAGACAGTAGACAATGCAGGACATCGGGTGTTCAGCACAGCTCCCAGCTGAGACCGAAGATATTACCTCCATATCAATAGCAGAATTTGTTCTGCAGTGACTATAATTTAGTCATCTGTATTAAAGCACATCTTAAAAAATGAGAAGAAACTGCAACGGTCCTTTTTTATATAAAAGGATAAATAGAGCATTTTATTAACACTTTTTGCAGCAACAAAAGTGACACAGTCCACATCTTTTTCATTAAACACAGCAAAAGCTATGGTCACATTTTACATCACTTTGAGGCACAAAGCAAAATACTTTTTTCTTAAGGTCAAGGTATGATTTGCATTAAAAAAAAGGAGAAGAAACAATCCTCAAGTTGTATATTGCGGTAGCAGGGTTTCCAATCACTAGCACAATACAATGAACAGACCAAGAATCCAGAATGGATTATTACATACAATAATAATCATTTGATTGAATTAAGAAATGGATCATTGTTGTCATTTTAGAGTATTAAGAAGTGGTCTGGTGTTGCTAACTTCAGTTCGTTCAGTTTGGTTTAATCCCAACAACCCCAAATATATACAACAAGCTAAATGAAGGTTAATATATAGTCTAGAAGATTATGCACTTCATAATGCATTGCACTTATTGCTTGGTACACTAATGTTGCAGTCACTGTTGAGTTATGCTAAAAAGACAAGCGTAATGCTTGTTGGCTTCTTTCAACCCAACACTAGTTATTTACCACTTTGGTTTATTGTGAGTTTATATGTTACTCATATTCAGTGTCCATTATTATTAGGTTTAATCGAAAGACAAATACATTTTTCATTTCAGGGATTTCTAAAATAGCAACATTTTCTATAATTACAGTATCTTCAATAAACTTATATCTATGTATACAACTGTGGCACGATGTGTAAAAATATGAAAGCTATTAAGGGAAGAATAAGGGTTAAATTATTCTCTGTTTCATCTATTGGCTTCAAAATATTTTGCAAAACAAATACATCCTTTTTTATAGGGCTACTTGCTCATAGTAAATTTCTCTTTGGAATTTTGTAAAAGACTATATCTTTTTCTAGGTTATATTGGATTTTTTCTCTCTCTAAAGACACCAGTAGAAAGTTGGAATATACTGTAAAGAACAGAATAATAAAGCTTGGTTTTTGATAAAGGGATTTGACAGTCTGCATGAAAAGTCAGACTTAACATTATATATTGTTTTTACATTAGTTGATAAATGCAGGGAAGAACATGATAATGCCTATAATTTCATAAGATTCTGTAAAGAATAGAAATAAGAATTTGTGCCCAAACATTCAATATAAAACTCCTAAAGACTTCCTTTATTCATCACAGAGTAACCTGCAGCATGTAATCACGATAAACATACAATATGCCTTATTTGTTCTTTTGGCTTGATACAATTACCACTAAAGGAACTGGATCAACCCTCTGTAAATGCCTAGGACTCAACCTTTCTTCTTTAAGAAAGCTCTTGTCTTAGACTGAACACACAATTCCTACATTGCACTGAGTAAACGTGTATTTAACACAATCTCTTTCAATACAGTGTAACAAATATATAAGTGCATTTTTAATGATCAAGTAATTTTGGCTTTCTAAAAAGAGCATTAGATGTGCCAAATCGGTTGCTTAGTTGTGCTTTAATCCTTAGTTATGAGTTTTAGCTCTTGTATACTGTAAGTATCTAATTGCCTCTATAGTTTTGACCAGTAAACCCTTAAAACTCTAATGTTTATAGAACAAATATAACCTAATGAAAGTGATGACATGTCACAACTCATACAGATTGCACTTTGATGCATTTTTTTACAGTAAGACCTTCCTGTTTGATATGTGTTTACATGTTTATACCACATTTTGTATTTCTGTGTGCAAACAATCACAATGAATTTAATCACAAACACTACAAAATATAACCAATATTTAGGTTTGTTATGAATAATCTCCTTCCTTGTAGTTGTATGAGTCTTGTACTTCCTCTTGTACAAATTCCTCTTTTTTCTCCCAACCATTAGGCCAGCCACCGTTGACCTGGGTTGTAGCACCATAAGACTTGGTGGTACCATAATTTACATAATTCTGAGTAATGTCCCCTGTCTCTTCAGCAAGTTCATCTTCATGAATAAAGCCACATTTCTCTTCACTTGTCTGTTCGGGGTCCGCCCAGGGTTGTTTCTCTCCCGAAGCAAATATGCCATAGAAGATAACACCTCCATAATGAACTAAAGCAGCGATGAGGAAGACATACTGCCACTCTTCACGTGTCTGTAAAGAAGAAATTTGCTAAATCAGACTAGTTCATAGATTTATCTAGCTCTTCTGAGCTGAAAGATTTAAATTAGGGATTGACGCTGTGATAGTCAGCACAGCTAAACCATGTAAGTGTCCAGTTTCCAATTATTTATATCTATCTTCCCTTGAAAAATCACTGTTCATTAGCCTACAAAAGCATTGACCTGGTGAGTGTATAGCAAAGCATGCTTCAAATTTGCAAGTTCCCGGATGCTGTTCCCTGGCGGTCCCAGACTCTAATACTGATAGCCTGGCAAGTTGTACTATGGAAAGGTCTTTTTCTTGGAGCCAATCATATTAAACTGGAAGATTCGAAAACTGTGTTGCCGTTTACCTTGTTCTTTGTCATTGCTCCGACAATTATAGGGCAAACCATTCCAGACAAGGTCCCGACTCCATTAGAAATCCCCATTAAGATGCTGGCATACCTCGGGGCAATGTCTAAATGGTTGACATTGAATCCTGCAATACAAAGGTCAGCAAACATTCATACCAAAAGCAGAGCATTACTTCAGTTCTGAAAAGTAATGCTATGGCTTGACAATTTTACTATGACGTATTTGGGCTGTTTAATTGAATTTCTTTTTCTCTTAAAAGCTTATAATGGTTAAACATCCCCATAGAGACTCTGGGTTTTCATTTTCTTTTAAAAATGTGTTGTAAAAGGATACCAAATGTATTTTCTTCCCAAAACTGCAGTTTAAAAAAAAAAATCCCAGTAGTGACTGTGTGGAGCAGAGAACCCAGAAGATATTTAGGCAGGAATAAAGTTTCTATTTCGCAGTGTCATTCATGACCATTTCATGCTGCAAATAACATGTCATTTCTTCTTCCAGCTTGTACCACTTTCCTTTCCTATTGCCCACGTTTTTCTTTTTTGTCACACAGTCCAGCAGAAGGGAGTTCCCTTCTATTCTCGAGTGGTAAAATGAAGGAAGTAAAAAGACTCCCTTCTATAAGTCTATACATTATTCATTAATTATTTTTATAAATATTTGCTTGTTCTCTTGCATTTCCAGCAGCTTAATTCTGTTGAAATTTATGCAATAGCTATTTAAATAATCTTAAAAAACCCCACATGCTTCTCTGAAGTGACAGAACTCATTGTCCCCAAAATAAGCACTTAAGTAAGTGAAAACAGAAAACCAAATCTTTGGATACAGAAAAATAATAAAAGAGAACAGGCAGGCAGTATGATATGGATAACTGTTAGAGAAAGTGCAAAACACTTTTCAAGTTGTGTAAAAGAGGTATGATATCTTGCAGAATACGAGGGATTAAGGACAGATTTGATTAAGGAGAGTTTAGATGTTTGGCACAAAAGAAAAGAGAGCCTGTTTTAGACATAAGGAACCAGCATGGGAGAGGATACAAAGATCGCAGTGGGAAAACACAGGAAGGCCAGGTGACTTGTGTTTGGGAAAGGCAAAGGCAAAGGGGTCATATATCAGCAGGAGAGGGGAAGAGTTGAATTTTAAATCAGAAAAAGATTGCTAGTAATTAGGCCCCAAAGTAATAAAAAAATGCAACTCTAACAAAGCATTAACTAATATAGAGGGACAAAAATCGTAAAAGGCCTATATTTAAACAAAGACATGTAAATTTAGGTATCATGGTATAATATTAGTCCATTTGTATTATGTGTTTGATTTCAAGAAAAATCTATGGTGTACATTAGCACCTCACCGAAAAGAAAGTCTAATTTGCTGCAATGAATATGGAAGAGATTGAAGCATTTGAACAAAAATATAAATAAAATATAAAAGATGTGATGCTGATTACTTTCCTTTGTAATGATCATAAATAATGTCATTTGGAATTCTGAGGTTTGTTTAAATTACCATCAATGAATAAAAACCAAATGAGATGTTCTGTCTTTTCAGATAAAATGATTTACTAATAACAGAAATACAATCTTACCAGATATGGCAAATCCACTAAAGCCTACAGCAAGCACTAGGAATGAAATAGCCACTCCTTTACTGTGAGAATAGCCCACCACAAGAAGAAGCGTTGCTTCCATACCAAAACCTGGGGAAATCACAAAGAAAACCATGCATCAGATTTCATTCCCTCTCAAATATTGCAGGTCTTAGGATATGGTAATATTTCATAGGAAGACAGAGGCAAAACATTACCTCAGACTGGAATATAAATAGGCATTTCTTTCATCCCTAAACCCCACATGTTCTTGCTATCTCAAATAATCCTTATTTTATTCTTTGAATGCTGATTTATTGTTACTTTCCATCAGTTTTAAGATGAAAAGAAATACTTGTGGTTTGGTTAGGTCATTCCGGCCAACCCTAATGGGAATATACACTTAACCGGCTTATGAATTTTGCAGCCTTTATCACAGCCAGGATTCAGCTCGTGTGACTTTAACCTCTCAGAAGTCGGATGTGTAATCTCAGGTAGTTGTTTGGGCTCTCTTACTGCGGAGGGTGTTTAGTTGAGGAGCTGAGATTCAGTAAGCAGCTAAGGGTAGGCAAATTACCCCCCAAAAGCTCTTCTGTGTATTTAGCAGTCTAAATGCTTTTTCAAATACCAAATATCTGTATTGAAACCTGGAACAGGAACAACTGTGTTCACTTTTATTCAGTAATGGTATCTGTAATACACAAAAAATGCACAAAGTATTGCTTCATAAGTACAAAACCCCATGCAGTTTCTTTGTTTACTGTATACGGCATACTATATGGACATTGAATCAGTACAAGAAGCTTTTTAATAAAATAAGAAGACTTACCTCCACAGTTCATTATCTTTCTTACAGTAGTGGTTGAAAGAATCTGCCTGCTTCTTAAAAAGTCTGCAATTTGTCCCCCAATAGGAACAATAATTGTCATCACTAAATGCGGCACAGCAGATAAGATACCCACCTAAAATAAGCATTAGAATTAGCAGAGTATAAGCCATGAGAAAATATTGATTCTTCATTTTCTGAAGTATTCAGCAACTAATTAATTGTTTCTCTTCAATTTCAGGCTACGTGCTAAAACTAAATATCTCAACTTGGTTTATTAAATGAACAAAACTGGTGGTCCTAAGTTGTCATTGTGTTTTATGAAGGACAGCCAGACTTTTTAAGAACCTCTGATGCTGTGACACTTTTTGTTTATAGATTGTTTTCACAGTTTATAGTTAAGCTAATGGCTTTTCCCCCTGACGTATAGCCCCTCTGCCCTTTCTTTTCATAAAATTTATGATCGAATGTGTTGAACTAAATTGCTACATTTCTGTTTGTGATGTGTTTGGCATAGCATTGCCCAGCAAACCCACTACGTCTAGGCAGATTCCCTGTGGATCATCCTCACGTGCACAGTGGCCATATTTGCCTTTGATTTCTGACCATCCCTGAAGCTTCGAATTTCACGTGGGCAAAAGATATGTCTGAGAAATTGAGTGTAGTGAAAGATAACATACTAAATATCCAGTGACGATATTCAAAATGCTATACAGGCTAGCAAAGTAAGACATAGTAATTTTGTGATGACTGTTCCAAGATATAATAATATATTTGAAGACCATTCCTTCAAAGCAGGTTAGGGTATCTGTGAGCATGGCATGAACTGCCAACTGCTATCTCCTGTCAACATAACCGCCTCGCAGGTAGTTTCATTCAGTACACATGGCATTTTGTTCTAGTAGGGAATTCTGATTATTTCTTATATCTGAGAAGGAGTTTGAGCACAGGGGGTTTTGCATAATTCCTGTCTGAGCAGAGTATCAGCTGGCCTGAAGTCTGACGTGAGTTACGTCAGGGTGCAGAGCAGACAGACTCCACGAGAGCAAAAGGAAAGCAAGTTTTCTCTACTCTTCAGTTAAAGTTGTGAAACTGTGCATTTCACTGCCGTTTGTATACATGGCAACTGTGTGTGAGAGCTAGCCTCATGTTAATAGACGTTTCTCCCAAGAAGTCAGGTATTAACTATGAGGTAAGTATGGTATTGCAGTTACTGCTTTGGGGTGTTCCTGACTAAATGATAACTACTCATTTTTGAGTATCCGCATCTGCAGCAGGTGAAAACCGACTTCACTGTCGTTGTTTACAAAGCTCCACATTTCTTTGAATATGCTGTAAGAAAAATCTTCTAGAACAAATTTCTAGAAGAAATTAATGCAAAATTAATCCTGTAGGATGTGACCATTCTTATTGCATACATAACAGATGATGTTTTAAGCGTCTTAAAATAACTCCAGCTAAAGATGGAAGCCCATTTTTAGATGCAGGATGGCATTGCATAATTTTGACAATGCTCCAAAATATGGCAATGCCTTGGAAGCTATTCACCTAATTGTCCCTTACACCACAATTTAGTTGGTGACAAAATTGTCCCTTACACCACGAATTAGTTGGTGACGGTACCTCATGGAACAATGTAAAAGGAATACAAGTCTCTCAAAAGCACAAACCCCCATCATTTTCACAAGAAGGAAATCTATATTAGTATACAGCTTACAATACACTCCAAAGGTTTGTTTGCACATTTACATTACAGGTCTGATCCAAAATTCATATGCATTATGTGGAACCTTAGATCATCCTTGTGTCTCATATTTTGCCACCATCTCTTTCGCTTCCTCAGTGGAAAAGAGGGAGCAGTTCTCGCCACATTAAAGGGGGATACAGAAAGGTGATAAATTGTACTATCCTTCCTACAATTAGGTAGTCCTGCTTTGTAAAAGGCACCTGGAAAAATGGAACCACTTGTCAATGCTTTCTGTATAGCTTTGGTGGGATCCCACATCCCCTGGGGTGGCAGGGACAGAAGTGTAATGAGTTTCTCGATGCCCTTCTAATATCATGCATGATCTGGTTTCAAGCACTTAACTGAAGGTCTTTTTGCAATATGGTCCCGAGTAGATCGTCCCTAAATCTCATCCTGCTTTCACCTTCCTCTATCCAGTCCTTTTTGTTGTTACTTCACTTACATGCAATGGTCAAGGGAACAGTAACTGGGAGGGATAATATTTAAGACTTACAAACCCATGATAAAGATACAGAACACAGTTCTTTCCTCCTCATAATAAATACCACAAATGTAGCTCTGATATTTACTTAGCTAAGATAAAAGCTTTACATTATTTTTACATACCTTGCTTATTTCAAATCCAAAGACTTCCTCAAAGTAAGCAGGCTGACTAATAAGCAGCAAGTAAAAAGTCCAGCTCCTACAGAAGTTTGCAACAATTATTGCATAGACTGGCATAGATGTAAAAAATTTTCTCCATGGAGTTTTGTATTTCTGGAATATAGAAAGGGGGATCCAGTCACCATTTTGATCATTATCAACTGTCTATCTTCCCTTTTCCTACCTCATATTTTTACCTGTACTCCAACAAGCTCAAACATGCACACCTCTATGTATCTGAATTCCAATGACTTCAATTATCATAAAGTACATGCATCCATGTTTGAATGGTCAAGATTTAATTAAAAAAAATAAACAAGTTAAACTTACTACAAAATGCACAAGAGGAGAATCTCAGTGATGCTTAACTGTATCACAAAACTCATGTACAAGTGCTGGTATCTCAATTATTTAAACATGAACATACTAAGTCCAAAATAATAGTATGTCTTTAAAAGACAATGTTGCTGTATCTAAGGCAACAGTCAGTTTTTACACTGCAAGTACACAGTTTCATCCAGATTTATTTTAAGCATGTATTTCAGCATTTAAATCTTAATGCCAGCATTCTGAGTAATTCTTTTATCAAGCCGCAGCTGAAACTGCTTGGTCAATATATTTTGTGTTTATTTTATTGTATTTTTAAAATGAATTGCATAATAATAAAAAAAAAAAGACAGATGGACAGAACTACAATCCTGCTGAGTCCCAGCACCTCTCCACGAGCCCAGGGTTCTGCCCATCTGTGTTGATCCAAATACAGGATCCAGACCCAGAAGAGTGTTTGAAAATCACTTCAGCAAGGTTACAGGCTGAATTTAGTCTACTGTTGATTTGAACACTGGCTTTTCTTCAAAGAAAAACAGCCCATAGATGAATATATGCAATACCTTGTATACCTATTGAATTACACTTAAGTGAGAGCATGACTTAATTAATGAGAAGCCAGCCAGAACAGCTAACTTGATACTAAGGGAAGAATTTCAGCATAAATATTTTACAAACGACTGAACTATTGATACAAACTAATCACTTCCAAAAAATGTTTAATTAAAAAGCAACAATGAAAAATAGACAGAAGTTATCTGGTCCAAGTTAGAATAATATGGATATTCTTTGAAGTGTCTCATGTCATATAAAATTTTCAAAAACACATATGAAGCCATGAACACTGCTGACTGCTATTAAACATCAACCCAGAGGCTACCTCAAGAACACCTAATAATGTCAGCTATCAAAGAAATTTCTCTGTAATATTTCCAGTTCCCTATTTAATCTCTATCATAGTTTTTTACTAAGAGGAAGATGGTTTATTCCTGAGTTCAATCAAGAAGCAATGATATGACCAATTAGAAAACATATTGAAGAGTGGTAGTGAGGGTCTACTTGGAATGGATAGTGTAAAAATTTGGGCAGATGAAGTGAGGCTTAAGAACTGAATTTTTTTTACTTTCTTGAGTTAGTAAGTATGATGATAGTTTCTTTAAAGCTTTTCAATAGTTAAACAAGAAAATTATTATTTAGCATGATAGGATTATTAAGTGGCTAGAAAACTCTCTGATTTCAGAGCTGGTTTTTAGGAGTTCTTGAGAAATAATCCAGTTCAGAACTAAATCAGCTTATGAGAGGCTTGGTAACGTGTTTCCAACAACATGACCACGATAATGGGGAGTGTTCCTATGGCTCTCCTAGCATGCTGTGTTGCAACCTACAGTATTTCTTGCAATTGAAATATAGAATAGTAAGGATTTGCTTTTTTTCTGATGTTCTGAGGACCTCAGGAGGCACTGGCTAGTGCTTTTCCTCCAGTTTACTTTCAGGAAGAGGAAAACCTTCCAGAAGGGCTTATATAGGAAGGAAATTAACCACTTGAGCTCAAGGTACTATGAAAATGTCAATAAAGCTGCAATTTCAAATGTAGATGCTGGGGTTTTTTATACTTTAGAGTAGAAAAAGAAGCATAAATTCTATGAGTGATCTGCTAGAACTGGAAAACTTATTGCGGCCTTTCAGTACTTACAGTGGGCTTATAAAAAAGATGGGGACAAACTGTTTAGCAGGGCGTGTGTGATAGGACAAGGGGTAATCATTTTAAACTAAAAGAGGGAAGATTTAGACTAGATAGAAGGAAGAAATGTTTTACATTGAGGATGGTGAGACACTGGCCCAGGTTGCTGAGAGAGGGGGGAGATGCCCCATTCCTGGAAACATTCAAGGTCAGGTTGGACGGGGCTCTGAGCAACCTGATCTGGTTGAAGATGTTCCTGCTCGCTGCTGGGGGGTTGGACTAGATGACCTTTAAAGGTCCCTTCCAACCCAAACTATTCTAGGGGTCTATGATTCTCTTCATGCAGAAGCAATTTCCACTTGGAAATCCATCAGCACATTTCAGATCTCCCCACTCCAAAAAAATTCAATTGTTTGAAACATGCTTTTCTGTCTTTGATTTTTTTTATTTTTTGGTTGTTTCTTTTTGGGTTTTTTGAGTTTTACTACTATCTTATAGGAAACAAGTGTATGAGTAATATTCTTACTTCCATTGCACCTAGGAGGTTGGCACTCTCTCCAATGCTTTCTTCTATGTATCTCCTTTCTTCATCTGTGATCGTAGGATGCTTTGCAGGACTCTCATATGAAACCAAAAGCCAAAACATGTACCAGACTATTCCAAAGCTCCCTTTGGAATGGAAAGAAAGACTTCAAAAAAAATGCACAGTGAAGAGGCAAACAAGGGAAAAAAAAGCCTTGAATAATTATAACAAATTTAAATGGCACTTGTTACTGCTCTTCTACTAAGTCATTCTAACAGAGAGTCGGATCCTGCAAACAATATTTGTGCAAAATACATGCAGAGCTGGACCACAGTGAACTCTTCTTTGTTTCATTTACAGAATGATTTCACTGTAAGTGGATATTCACTGATATTTTAACATCAAGTTTTAGAATGCAATGCAATGAAACAGCTTCCATTTCATTTCACCAGACTGCAAATGAAGTTCCATTCTGCTTTAAGCCACTGATGTTTGATTACTGCACTAAATTTTTTACCTGCAAAATACAAGATTGTGGCATTGTTTTCAACATAGCAGTGCACTTCCTGAGTAGTTTAATGAATTTCTACAAGGTTCCCCCCTAATTCACATCAATTTTACACTGCAGAATGAACTCCTTTGGGACCATTTTTTCCATCAGTGTAAGTTAAAGTAGCACAACTAGTGTGAATGAATGTCTTCAGATAAAAATCAGGACATCTCAGTCAGGGCAGGTACTCTGAACTTAGAGTCGTATAAATGAAACAGTTACGTTACATCATCTGAGGTTCTACAGATCTGCATAGCAGTCTGCACTACTTCTACTAGATGTGATGAAGGTTTCACCATGAACTAGCTTCTCTTCCTTTTTAATAATGCTGCTTTTCTGCTCTCTCCTTTAAATTCTGTTCGTTCTTTGTCCTTTTCTCTAGACTGTATTTTTAACTTTATGGACCCACTTCTCCTTTTTTTTTGGCCTCTTAACAGTAGCTTTTACATTTTTAGAAAGGGTAGAGTAAGGTCATAGAATATTGGAGTGAGAGGAGCAAAAATGCATACCATACACATAGAACACAGAAGACCACCCAGTATATTGCACTAGAATTCCAGCTAAAGGCATTGCAATAACAGCTCCTGCATAGGAACCTACAAAACAAGACATGCGTGGATGAAAAGAGAGAAAAATTCAGTCTCAAAATACTTTTACGTTACAAATGAAAGAAAGACGAAAATAGAAAGTTACTTACCACAAAAGGAAGTGGTTGCTAACCTACTTCTTTCTAATGGGGGGGCCCACTTGCTCCAAATACCGTGGCAGGCAGGGTAGGTGACCCCCTGGGGAATGGGCGTGCCACAAGTTAGCTAATGCTGATCAATCACTCAGTTCATTGTCTTTGCATGATTTTTTTTTTAATTGCTATAAACAAGAATTTGAGAATGCTTTGCATTTCTGTCGTCAAGTCTGAGCACAGCCATAGAAAAACTTCAGTTTCTATTAAAGTTGAAATGGGTTTTGTATATCACACCAAATCATCAAAGAGGCCTTAGGAAACAGATATAAAAAAGATTATTTCTTTTGCTCCCTCTTCCAGGAAAGAATTGCAAAGAATTTAAATGAAAGAGACTTATTGTACAAGTACCCCAGTCAAAGGATGAAAACACAGACACTCTGGAGTCTTTCTAATGCTGGGCTCAGTCCTCCACCCCTCAGCTTTGGTGACCTTCTAACATTTTTTTGATCTAACATTTAAAGTATAATTTAGGAAATACAGATTACTGTTCCACTGCTCTAAAACTAAAAAATAAGACCTTAAAAATAAAATGTTAAGAGAGAAGTTTTTCACTAGTGTTGTCTTTAATGAACTTAAAGCAAATAATTGGCTGATATTAGTTGGTTTGATTTTAAACCAGTTATTTTTAGGTCTCTCTTCACAACCAGTCTTTAACATAATGATAGGAAAATTACACAGAAATCATGGCATCTTGCAGTGTTGAAATTTTAGAAAATTTGATATGAAATATACATTAATTTTAAAAAAAATCATGCTTAAAAATTATTACGACATATGCATAGTTATATAGAGTCACTTTTCTCTTAATTTGATGTATTGTTTCCTATGCAAGAAGTAGAAAAAATTAATAACTTTTGACAAATGTGGAGATTATCATAAAAGTTATCAATCTCAATATACAAAAAAGGTTGTAAAATACATTATTCTGTTTTGAAAGAAGATCCTATAACCAGTTTCATGTTCATGTCAGTCTTTTGTTCATTTTAAAAAAAATAAAATGTAATCTTAAGATTGTCGTGACATATTGTAAACCTTCTTCAAACAGTCCTGTTTGAGATGTTTTGCACTCCCAATTCCTTTGAACAGTATCACAGAAACGAGTGGGTCTAAAATAGCTATTTTAGTTTGTAATTACCCACTTGCTTCTGTTCCTCTCCTCTTTGCAGTCAAGCACACCTCTGTGCATGCACTTTTCAGGAACGGATCCACATTTGTACGTGTATACTTTAAGAACCTGATTGACAGCTACGTAACTTTCAGGCGCATTCTGCACCCTCTTTTGGAGTCTTTTTATACAATAAAGCACATGACTTAAAATCAGCTCACGCAACAGAAGTGTGTAGCCCTGAGGAGCAAAGAACCAGCTATCGCAGGTTTAAAAATCTGTCTCTCAGTAAAGAAACAAACAAACAAGTAAATTTAGAAGGCAGGCTCTATTTTTTTCTCTCTTTAATCATGGTAAATCTCTCATTCATACCAACAAGACCATGGTTCGGGCCTATGAGAGAAGCTTAATTCTTTATTAAATGTTTTATCTGTGAGAACGGACAGCAAATAACTGGTGAGAATAGCACCAGTAGAAGCCCTATGCAGTACAGCGTTTCAGTGAAATTTCAGTGTTAAACACATATCTCGCTGGGAAAACTTTCCTATGTAATTTTATAAATGAAGGAAAATCAAATAGCTGTAATTCATACATTGAAATCCATTACACCAAAAATCAATAATAAACTGAAAGCAATTTTTATTTTCCCCTGAAATGTTACAATTGCTAATTAAAAGCTAACAAGCATCTATCACATTTACTGGTTATTTGCTAATTTTTCCATACCTCTACAAGGCCCTGCAAGATCCTAACAAAGATGACACACCCATAGTGCACTCTGGCTGCAGACGGGATTAACATGTTGAGAGAGGATGTCAGCAGTATAGCAGCACCAAATACTCTGCAAAGGTGGGGGGGG